AAAAACATTTTAACATCTTTATGTGTACATATAAGAGATTTGCTTGTATACAATTTTGTTTTCATGCATTTTACGTATTTCAGTCTTCTTTCTCCCAATTTGTTTTTGCATTGCTTGACATAACCAAAATTTCAATATTGTTTTATAATCAAAGTATAAAATATTACTGTGTGAAATCATTAATTATAATTGTAAAAGAATAAAGTACAATATTGAATTTAAAGTTAATTATTAATAGAATATATACACGTACTATATGTGTATATATAGTATGTATGTGTAAAGACGGAACTAAAAATTTATTTTATAAAAAAACAAGTAGAATTAAATAAATAATCATAAATACGATTAAAACTTTTATTTTATATTACATGATATAATTATTTTATTTATCATATTTAAATTATGTACAATCCGCGTATATATTAACATAATAAATAAGCTTTTATCAGTGAACAAAAGTCAGGCAGTATAAACAGAATATCGGCTAATATAACATCTTTCAGAGAATTACTCGAATGCGACAGGTTCTGTATTCCGAGACATGGGAGCATCGATTCAAAAGATGACAAATTAGTAGAGGAATTCACTACGCTACACTCGCAATGTTTCTACTTTTTACTTATACTATGTTCAGATGCACCTTAATTTCGCAAAAATCGCAATTTCATCTTCATTTCAGCGAAATTAGGTTTTATTTCCATACCAAATTCATTTTTAAGGTTAGAACGCAATTAAGGAAAATGGCCTTAATTTCGTTGAAGCGAAGTCTAAAATTAAGGGAAATTTTATATGCAACTATGCGTAAGATAAATTTTAAGCAAAAGATAAAGTTGAGATAACGAAAAAGTGACATTTTTTTAAAATAAATGTCAGTGACTTAGTTGATTTTAATGAAACCGAGAAAATAATTTAAAAGTATTGCAAACTTTTTAAATTTGTTTACAGAGAAAAAACTATGACTGTTATTAATTTAAAATAGAGCGAAAAATAATAATTCACATACCTTGAATTCACTAAAGCTAATAAAACTACTGAATGCCGTTATAGTTTTAATAATCAACTTTTAATATTTCCTAGATACATATATAATATATAAACATATAATTTTTAACATTCGATTTGTAAACAAAAACATATGATTTCATTAATTTGGGGCAGTATGGACACTTTTGAAATTAACTTAATTTCATTTTACGAAATTTGGGAAATCTGTCTGAACATAGTATTAGTAAGTTAATTAAGTAACTTTAAAATTTTGTCGTTTCATTGACATAAGTTACTTATTGCATGACGACATTTTTGTGTCGAAAGTTCTTTAAAAGTTTTAAGAGAGCTTCTGTTTGTTTACAAAAATTTCACTCAATACTATGGACGTGTGCGAGTTAGGCTAAGTTGATGCTAAACCAAATGGGAGATTTTTTGGGATTTTTTGCCCTGCACACATTTAGCCATTTATCAACACGTATCGACACATCACTACATTATCGGCACAACTTAGAATTTCCCTCATTTAGAACGCAACTTAGCCTAACTCGCACACGACCTATATTACACAAAAAATTAAATATATAATTGATATATTAAATCTTTTATATATATGTATATAGTTTATAAATCTATTACATATTTAATTATTAAAAACAAAAATTTTATTAAGGTCGTGTGCGAGTTATAGTACATTCACACTATCTCATTTAGGCGGTTTTGCTCATTATAATCACTAATGAGCATGATTTACCATACAAAGAGCTTTCATATAAATGTGCTGATTTACAATAAATCAGCTCATTTTAGACCAAAATTGTCGAATGCAACCCTTTAAAAAAAATTTCCCAAAAGGGAAATGACCAAAATTTGAAGTATCTGTCATATATTTTTAAATATAAAATGTAAACAAACAACAACTGTGCTGTAAACAAGTACACTGAGAAAGTAATATTAAATATAATCTGTTTTTATTAATTGAAATGTAATTAATATATAACATGTATATAAATGATTTAATATATCAATGAAATATTTAATTTTTTAGTGAGATATATTCATTTATTTCAAATGGATTCATGTCAATGGCAAAAAGAAGTACGTACTAGTATTTAATAAAATTTTTTGTTTTCATGAATTAAATAGGCACTACAAATTTAAATAGTTGATTTTAGATTAATTTAATTAAATATTATTTTCAGACACAGAAAATGAAGAGAAGGAGAAATGCTTGGTCGGAAAGTGCCAAATTTAGTGTTTGAAAGTATTGCAGGTGAGTTTTCACAAATTTGTTTAAGTTTTTCAAAATAATGAATGTGTTTATTTATCAGACCAGGCCCCGTCATCAAATGATACATTGTTGCTGTCGCCATGCTCTTTTCCACCGATAGATCCAATATCTACGTCGGAAGATTCTGAAACACCTGCAAAAAAAAAAAAATAAAGGCAATATGAATGACACCCTTTTGGAAAAATTTCAGAATCTGATAGATGTAGAGAACCGTCACATCGAGCTGCAGGAACGCACAGACGCAAGGTTCCTGAATTTAATGGAAGAAAGCAATGTTGCTTTATCCCGTATCGCGTCATCAATGGAAAGAGGTTTTCCATATACTCGGCTCGCTGGTTACGATGACTCCAGCGATGAATAGCGATAATTATTTATTAATAATATAACATAATTTATAATTATTGTTATCATTATACTATTATAATTTAGATTAAGTTACTTTTTTTTTTTTATAAATATATAGGATAATTAGATTAAGTTATTTAGTGCTACAAAGTTAAAAATTAGGATTAGGTGAATTTCTAATAAAACTTACTAAAAAATGTAGCTAAACATCGTCTTATTTGTTCTGCATTTAGATCACCGTTATTTAATACTGAAACTTCTTCTGGTTGTTGTCGTTCTGAAACCAGATGTTGTTTTTTCAGAGCACGTACCCAACTTTTCCACTACATCATTTTTGTCATTTCATTTCGCTTCTGTATTCAGCCGACGACCCAAGGCAATACAAGCCAATAGCAATTCTCTTTTCTAAAGAAATTGAAATTCGAAAGGTTGTATCTCTTTTCTGTAGTCCTTTTAATAATTCACATAACTCCTTAAAACATTCCAAACTCATGCGAAAATTTTCTTTGAAAAAATTTGGACCATTTTTCTGGCAATCCACTTCCCAGAATTTCTTTGTTCTTTTCTGAAAAAAATGTTAATTTTAAACTTTATTTAATAATCATTACTGGCGGCACTAATCAACGTCCAGCACTTCCTCCGGTTGCTAGCAATTATTGTAGAAAGAATTGCTATTTGCTTTTTTCTTATTTCAGGTATATTTTTTCGGTGCATTGCACGACATTTACGATATTCAGAAATTGCTTTCTTTCTATTATTAATAATTTCACACACATTATATATTATGTTTTTTAAATTTTCTGTGTTTTCCATTTTAAAATATTTATTTTACACAATACCAAAATTTTTCTTTGTGTTTTATTTGTAAACAAAAGAAAGTTCTTTTATAGCTTTTTTGACATATAAAAGTTCTAAAAGCTGTATAAATGAGCTCATTATTATGTGAACGGTTTCTCATTTATATAAATGAGCAAGTGCCTAAATGAGATAGTGCGAACCTGGTATTAGGCTAAGTTGCGTTCTAAATGAGGGAAATTCTAAGTTGTGTCGATAATGTATTGATGTGTCGATACGTGTTGATAAATGGCAAAATGTGTGCAGTGCAAAAAATCCCAAAAAATCTCCCATTTGGTTTAGCATCAACTTAGCCTAACTCGCACACGTCCTAAATACTCACTTTCTCAGTGCTTTAATTTACAGCTCAACTGTTGTTTGTTAACATTTTACATATAAAACATTTGACAAATATTTCATATTTCGGTAATTTTCCTTGTGGGAAATTTATTTTTAAGGGTTGCATTCGACATTTTTGATATAATTTCCCTTACTTTATTTTTAAGTAATTTGAAAAGCATTGAAGCTCTTTGTGTGGTTAATGAAATTTATTAAATATGTTGTATATCTGGACTGATTAGTTAATTTTTTTTGTTCCCACAATATTTATAAAAAACCATCCATAAAAATATTAAACTAATATTTTCAATTGCTTTTTTGAAAAAATTTTAATTTCATATTATATATATTATATTATAATTTATTAGCGGGTTAATTGGTCATTAAATAGAAATAAAAAACTATAATTTATTATTTGTATTTAATAACAAATTATATTTTATTAATATGAAATTATATATTATTACAGTATATTTTGTTTTTAAATACAAATAAAAATTATAGTTTTTTTATTTCTATTTTAATTTACATTACTTCCTTGATAAATATTTATTGAGTAAATTGAGGTAAAGTAAATTGGGATTTCCTAGGGATTTTTTGCATTGTATTTATGTAAATATATATTTATTTATTTATTGCACTTATTTATTATTTTGGTTAAAAGTTTTTAAATTTATTTATTTATTTATTAAACATTTTATAAAATTTTCACCATGGTAACACCTAATTTACCTAATTTTTATCTATTTTACCCTACTCGAAATTTAGGCAAATATTAACATTCACTGCCATACCGACATAATTTACTATTTCCCTCAATTTACCATCAATTGACTTGAACTCGCAGACGGCCTTAATCGAATTTCCATTTATCTATATCTATGTATACAGATATTTTCTATTTAGCATTTAATTTGAAAATATTTAATATCATCTTCATATGCAAATTTATTTATTATAAGCTGAACATTTTAATTAATGTATACTTTACCATTATACAGATATTAAACAGACTGTACAAAATAAAGGGATAATATTGGAAGTTAAAACTATACACCACTGCTCCATAACAACAAAACAAATAAAACCCTGCCAAATTTATTCACCAATTGGAATCTGTCAAAAACTTATAGCTGGTAACACCTTATAATTGTAAACCTAAATTGTTCGCAGCTGTTAAAAAAAGTTTATAGATTTTAGTTTATTTGCCGTGAGAATATTGGTGCTGTAATTTATTTTTGAATGTTTTGATAATTAAATCTTAAATATCTAAAGGTAAAGTTTGTAATGTATAGTTATGAGTAAGCCAATTTATGCTTATAAACGCAATAAGTGAAGCCCATTCGTATCAACGCAGGGTATGTGTGTGTATATGAATTTTTTAGATAATTATATACAAACATTTCTTAAGAAATATATTGCTTCCAGTTGTGCCAAATTAATTGTAATTGTACCTCCATCCATTTACTTCAGCAAGTCATGGCTATTTGAGTCATTTAATATTAAAATAAATATATGTGTTTATCTGTTTTGACATTCCATATCGTATAATAACCATAAACATATTTTTTAATTTTTTTAATATCACATTTCCCTGGTTTTAAATGCTAGAGAGAAAAAAAAGCGTGGCCTATACTACACAAAATATTTTATTTATATACATATATATATTCGTTGAAGCATTCAATTGTATTTTATTTGAAAATCATTTTTCTTTTTATACTGTTTCATTCGTGCATAAATATCATCAGCTCCATTGAGGGTTAAGCGAATAATTTCTATCTGATTATGGTGATATTGAATACGATATAATATCAGAGTTTGGTTTAGGCGTGTTTATAAATAATCGCCATTTTTGTAATGTTTTCAAACGGTCTTCCGTGTAACCTGCCATTTCCAAGTTGTTTGGGCATTCCTAAAGATAGCGGCAGTGACGAATTGTTGCCAGTCAACATGACCAACCGTGAGCCTGTTATATTAAATGTTTACGATATGGTAAGTATGTTAACCAAAAATTTAAATATTATTTAATTAGAATATTTTACAGTATTGGATCAACGAATATACAACTTCCATTGGACTTGGAGTATTTCACTCTGGCGTCGAAATATTTGGAACAGAATTTGCGTATGGGGGTCATCCTTTTCCTTTTACAGGTGTTTTTGAAATAACTCCACGTGATCACGACGAACTTGGAGAGCAATTTCAATTCCGTCAAAGTATACAAATTGGTTGCACTGATTTTACATACGAAGAAATTCGACGCATTGTGGAAGAATTAGGAAATCAGTTTAGAGGTGATCGTTATCATCTTATGAATAATAACTGCAACCATTTCTCAAGCTCTCTAACACAAGTAAGTAATATGTTAATTTAATTATATGTTAATAAAATTGTATTAATATACGGATGTAATTTATTCAAATTACAGATATTATGTGGCCAAGAAATACCCAGTTGGGTAAATCGACTAGCGCATTTTAGCTCTTGTGTGCCATTCTTGCAAAGATGTTTGCCAAAGTAAACAAATACAATAATATTTATTTAAATATTCTTAATTTAAACATTATTAATTTTGTAAATTTATAGAGAATGGTTAACGCCAAATGCCTTGCAGCAGAGTATAACTGCATTACAAGATCGAGATGAATCTGATACCAGTCCGCTTTGAGTGACTTCAAAAATTATTCACAACTCGCAAAATTTTATTAAAAATTTGAGTATGATATTTTAGAGCGTAATACCGTTAGTCCTTCAATATATATTATTAAGTTAAGTAAATTAAAATTATTAATTGTAAATTTAAATTATTTACTATATTATATTTTCTCATCCATAGTTGATATATATTTAAATATATATCTAATATATATATATATATATATGTATATGTATATATATTTGTGGCTTTATATTTTATTTGTATTAAGTATATTCTGACGCAAAGTTGAAATGTAATAATATATATTGACACATGCAATTTCTTATGCATTCGATAGTTAATAAAAATGATCATTTTGTATATTGTAAATTTCTGAAAACGTTCTGAATTTATTGTAATGTAAGAATAATGTCGTTAAGTACAATATTCTTAATATATCATTATCCATTATTGACGTAAGTCACATTCATATATATATATAAATAAAATATTAAAACGTTATGATCAGGTTATATCGCAATTAATTAAGTATTTTAACGTATGTACAAACTTTTAAATGAAACAATATGGTTTTATTTACAGTAATTTATATAAAAATTATATTAAGTAATAATGTATAATAATAGTCCACTTTTATTAATATAATAGAGCTAAAAACGACAGCCAAAATAATGTGACTTTTATTATATGTATTAAAAAATAAGTTATGCTATAACGTCGTAATGATAACATGCAAAAATAATAAAGTTCTTATTTTATTTGTTTTTACTAAATATACCATTTCATGCGATGCAAAATAAATGTTCGTATATTTTATAAAATGTATAAACTGCAAAAATGATCCAAACGCTCAAAATTTTCTTAATAATTCTCTTACAAAACTTTGACTTTAATATATTTTCGAATAAAATATATTAGTTTCGATTACGATACACATATAAATATGTAGCTTATGCTAAAATATTTATAAATAATTTTTTTAAATTTTCAAAACGGTATTTTAAGTTAAAATTTTATTAATATTATTTACCATACAATATATCATATTACGATTATTTAAAAGGATGACTTAAGTAAACCGCTCTCCAATGATCGATTTTTAATTAATAGGACAAATGTTTATAATGTTGCAATAAATAAATTTATTTATTTGTTTAACCTTAATTTGATACACATTTATTGCATATGAATAAGTTTTATACTTTTTGCAAATTTTTTTTACAATTTGCAATATTGTTATTAAACATGGAATAATGACATAATATTAACTTTTTATTTTTTTTTCCTAAGTACTAATGTTGATAAATAAGTTTAATTGTAAAATCTGTACTTTCCAAAATTCTCAATATTGTTGTCAGTACGGTCACGGCATTTAGTTTTCATATTAATATTAAAGTGTAATTTGTGTACTATAGAACAATTGCAATTGTAATAATTATAATAACAAATGTTAGAAATTATCGCACAATCACTGAAAGAGTGACAACTCAAAATATTACAGATTCGTCCCTATTATGTAAAAACTTTCTCATGCGCATCTCCATGACAAATTTCTTACGTTACAATTTCTGCCAACTAACAGTTAACAGTCTGGTTTTACAATTGACATTAATTTAAGACTCACATAGTTTTTGTGTTGCATTAACTGAAATTTTCAGTTATCTAAATTTTTTTTAGTGGACGTGCGATATATTGTGATGCATGACAGTTTATATTTTTTCAATATAGAAATCGAATTAACAAAATGGTTATAATCTACTTAGATAATAATTAATTAAATTCAAGCAAAACTAAAATATAATATTAAAATTAATACAAAGAGCATTAAAGTTTAAAAAAGAGTTAATTAAAAGAGTGTATTTCTATCTAAATCTTGTTTAAAATTTTTTAATAATTCTAGAAATTGTTTTTAATGATCCAATATATCATGTCACTTTATATGAGACCACGTTTCTTTTTATAATCTTCTAAATTTAATGAACGCTTCGGAACGACATCATTCATCTTAGGAGTAGGTTTAGGTAGTACATTAACTGAGCTCACTAAAAAATAACAACATACGTTTAATGTAATTTTATATTCATAAATATTAGTTTTATTACCTGGAACAGTAACTTCTAAATCTATTTCAAAATCATGTAGTGAATATAGATTGTAATCTTTAGATTCTCCCGTTTTAGAGCTGCTTGCCCCATTTTCATCTGGTTTTTTCTTCATAGGTTGAGAGTCTTGATTATGTGATGGCTCACTTACTGTTTCATCGTCCTTCTTCTCGTTGGATTTAAATCCCATACGAGGTTGTGTAATTCGTCTGGTAAATGGATCTGATATTTTCATACCCTTATTAGCACGTGCTTCTTCTCTTATAGCTTTTTCAGCATCTTCAACATTTCGTTTTCGATTACGATCATTAATATACGCAATTAAACTGAGGCTACTTGAACGTTTCTTATCTAACTCTGATGCTCTGGTCTCAAGTTCTTCTATTTGCTGACCGAGATCCAATGCTACATCATAATCACCTTTTAACATTGCAGCATCACGTTCTTTCATTAAACAAGTTTTTCGCATTGCATAATTAGTTGGCCTGTTACGAAAACGATTTTTTTCTTCAACTATTTTGTCAACATCTTCGTCTTTGTACTCGTAATTTAAAGCTTTCTTTATGTCCTGTTGCTTACGATCTATCATGTCAATTGTTGGCATAGTCACATTTTGTTGAGCGCACATATCTCGCCATTTTTCAAACTCGTTTACTGTGAATTCTTGATTGGATATAAATTCCAAACGGAAAACTCGTTCCTGTGTACCATGTTTGAGTCGTAGTCCACGATTAGTTCGAGTCTTTCCGAGAGTGTAAACTTTTGCGGTCTCAACTACTCCCACAATTTCAGCAACTCGATAAACAGGCTTTTGACCATTATTACCAATACTAATTCGTACAAAGCAGTTAATTACCGTTGGTTCGAAAATTGGTAAATTAACAAAACGTTCCATTTTGAAACGAGACAAGCGTAATTTATTTAAATCCTCTCTAGTATTTATATATTCTAGTTTTTTCACATCTTTCTCTTCTTCTTCCGATTCGCTAGAATCCTTACTAACGCTGGTTGATCGTGATCTTTTTCCTGCAGGTTTTTCATCATCCCAATCACTACTTCCCGAATCATCAGAATAAATTTCAGAAGCTTTCAGTTTAACAGCAGACTTGCCACCTGACACACTTTCTAATTCTTCTTTTTCTTCTTCACGATCACGCTCTGCTTGTCTTCGTGCCTCTTCCTCCTCTGTAAATATATATAAAATTTGAATTCTTCTATTTCATATTTTCATATCATATCAATATCAATTTCTACATAAAAAACATTGAAAAATCACAGATTGTGTAAAATAATAGAATTAATGATAATTATTAATAAAAAAAATTAGATGAGAACTATTTCAAACGAATTTTAAGATAAAACTGCGGAATAATACCATTTCTAAAATATATTTTTAATTAAACATTATAATTAAAAAAATTACGTATTCTTAATTTTAAGGTAAAATTCACATATAGTCTTTGTGAACTAAAAAATGTAAATATTGCATTTTACGAATTAACAATATTCAATTGATTAATTAGAAATAAGTTTTAGCTGTAGCTTATAAAATTTGTGTATAAAATTTCTTATCTTATGTTTGACTATTGAAGATATGTAATATAGAAATTCTATTCTCAAGTTATTATCCATCATTAATATTAACAACATAATTATTATATCAAATCCTAACATAGAAGACAGACTAATAAACTTAGTGGTTCTGGAGGTCCTAAACATAAGATGGGTTAGTAATACATACCACGCTTTGCTTTTCCTTCTCTCTTCGCTATCAATAAGGCCATAGCATTGCTCCTTTTATCATCTGTACGATTCGCTTCGACATTCTTTTTTCTTTCTTTTGATCTCTCTTTATGATCAAAATAATCAGCTGTACCTTGAGCTCCTTCATCTGATGGGACATCTTTTTCAATATTAAGTACTTTATTTGTTTGATCTACAGATACTGTTTCACTTTTTAAAATTTCGGTAGTGGAAGAAGTTGTTGTTGGTTTTGGCGGTTCCTCAACGACATTTGTTGCTGCTGTACTTACTGGGATCTTTTCTTTTGCTTTCATTTCCATCTCTTTTTTTTTCTTTTTGTCTTTAGATTTTTTCTTCATTGCATCAGTTCTGACTTTGTTTCCTTTTTCTCCACGTCGAGCGAGCTTTAATTTACGTTCGATTTCCCAACGTGTACGTAAGCGATCTCTTTGTTCTATTCGTTTAAAAATTTCAGTCTCACGTTCCTTTTCAGAAAGCCCGTTTAAACGTTTTCGATCCTCTTCATCTCCCATCAAATTTTCATCGTATCCATCATTAAATTCAGAATCAGAGCTACTATATTCATTTGAAGAACCAGATGATTTTGAACTATTGTCTGAAGAATTTTTAGAATTACTATTATTCTCATCGTCACTATCGATGACTTCCCCTTCTTCTTGTTCACTAAGTGCTTTGGATGAAACGTCCTCTTTTGGTGGGCTTTGTTTCGTTTGTGGCATATTTTCAGCACTAAAACTTTCGGCATCACTGTCCGCATCCCAGTCTTCCTCTGATGAACCAGAACTTTTACTGATTTTTTTCGTTCGTTTCTTTTTTCGCCCAGCCGAAACATTTGATTTATTTTTGCTCCAGTCTGAATCAGATTCTGACCCTAATACACCTTGAGTACTGCGTGGTTTTTTCGTTTTCCTTGAGAGTGATAGTAGCTCCTATATTTAATAATAATCACATGAAAAATATTTTTCCAGCTATCTTTTAAAAAGCATACCGATTCTAAATTTGTTCCAGATTCATTCCCACTAGCATCAGAATCGATCATTATTTGATTTTTTCGTTTACCCATCCTTTTTAGTTTGTTTTGCTTCTTTTAAATTTATTTTAACTATTTTCTACTTGCCAAAATTAATGTCTATAATATGAAACGAGTTTTTCAGCAGATGCAATAATTTTAATACCAACTTACTGTACGATATTAATCGATATTTTGCACGTCTCTATTATTCACAATAAAGTAACATATGTATTTTTTTAAATATGTAAACAACAAAAAATGCTTTGACTTTTTCCGCGTTGCCAATTTTTAGATGTATGATCTTTGTAAATAAAAGAAAATGTTTGATTTGTATATATGTGAGTTATTCACGATAAGTAAAATTATTTGTAAAAAGTAATATATTTAGTAAATAACAGAAAAATAAATTAATTTATTGTATTACTATAAATTTTTGAAACAAATGCATTTTATCCTATATTTATCACATTTGCAGTTTGTCATTAAAATAAAAATTATTAGCGATATTCACTCTTTCTTGCAAAGTCATTGCAATATGCACAAAATGCAAGAATGCTATACTAAAATTGTAAGATTGTGAAAACACTTCTGTTGCAGAATTGTAATATCAAAATGAAGCAGCTGGTTTTGTAGCATACCACATCCATATGAGAAGCAACATATGTTAAAACTGCTGATTTTTTCCTTTTTTGTTTCGTTGCAAGCGTATATATATGGGTTTAAGTATAGTAATAGTGCAAGCCATTGCAAGAAAATTTGTACGTAAGTTTGTAAGTAAATCACATTAATTACACATAGTAGCAAGTAAATGCAGTCCGCCTTAAAATTTGCTTTGGTACTGTCTGGGCGGTATAGTGTGACTAATGCTTTGTAATTGTATAGTAGCAAGTAAATGCAATTGTTTTTTATATACACGATGTCTTTATTGTGAAGTTTACGGTGATAAACGCAGTTGTTGTAAATTTACTGAGGTAAATATTTTGCCCTGAAATAAATATGCTGCAGTGGAATTTAAAAGTTTTATGAAAAACACAGATTAAAAGACGAGTCGTTAACATACAAGCAATCAAAAAACTCATTTTTTGTCGTAGTTCGCATCGCAATTTAAGGAAAATGCTATTCCTTATTACGTGTTAATGAGTTTTACGAGCTAAATGTAAAATTAAAATGCGATAAATGTTTTTTTTGAGAGTTTTCAGTGAGAAAAAATTACTAATAATAAAATGCGTATAATAAAATGAAAGCGATTAATATTAAATTAAAAATTTTTTAAGAATTTATAGAAATATATTATATTAAATTTGGGGGTCATGAACTTACCGGAATTAATGTAGAAAGCCTAATATTGTAGCGTGAAGAAAGAAAGTTTCTTCAACAAAGTTTCTTAACCAACAATGCAATCAGCTGATTTATCAAGATATCCTAATGTAAAATGAATCTCATCAAAATTCATCGACAGATAAAATACCGTTGTACTCAGTTTACAAGCGCCCAATAAATTTGATTTAAATTTAATTGATTGAATAAACAAAATGAATTTACAGAAGTTAAAATTGTATTAAATATATTAATTTAAAAATTACAATGCTATAACTATTGATAATTACACTACTGTCAAAAAAGTTATAGATAAAGTAGTTTGCATGAAAACCAATAAAAACGCAGTGTAGATTATTATTGTTTCATCCTGTGTTCCAACATGATTCATCGCAGTGTATGAGAAAACGCTTTTCGAAATAGAATTATAATTGTTGTTTTTTTCTTTTGATAAAACTTTAAAATTTTATGTAGCTGATTTTAAAATATATTAAATATATCAAAATGGAACAATATATAATTGATAGTGGAACAGATTTTGTTAAGCTTAATATATCTAACTCAAAAAACGATAGAGTCGCCATAGAAACTAAATTTGCAAAATCTCTTAATGTTGCCGAACTGAAAGTATAAATAAAAAAATATCTATTAGTATTTTTAATAATTGAATAATTTTAATTAGAAAAAATTAGAAGTCATAACTGGAGGTAATGCAAATACAATGGAAATTGAATTGTACAATGGAAATAATTTGATTTGTAAAATAAATGACAACGCAACCATCATAGGCTCATTACCCATAGTTTCTGGTATGAGATTGCATGTTATAGACTCATTTGTGCTGATTGAGCCTGAAGCTGTTGAAAAATTCGAATTATCTGAAGACCAATATGAGAAAAAAACAGATACTGTCCGTAATTTTTTAAAACAAAATCGTCTTGGGAAATACAATGAGGATGAATTGCGTGAAAAAGAGAAAAGGCAAAAGGAGCAAGAAAAATTAGAGCGAGACCGCATAGAGTCATGCAAAATTGGATTGCGCTGCCAAGTTAGTGTTTAAGCAATGCATTTAATTTGAAATTTTATTTTAATTTACTGCTTATTAGGTTCAAGTAAAAGGTAATCCTACGCGTATAGGCACTATTCGTTACAACGGATCTATTGAAGGAAAGAAAGGAACATTCATTGGTGTAGAATATGATGAACCTTTGGGAAAGAATAATGGATCGTAAGTTTATATAGCATCGTTAATATTAAGAGCCTACAATATTTATGTAAATAATTTAAAAATATATTAAAAGTAAATCAATACATAATTTTTTGAAATCCATAACTCAGCCCCAAAAAAAGGCAATAATAAAGAGTAACGAACAATTATATTGTCTAGTTTATACATATTATTAAATGATTTCCATAAGCTAGTAAAAATAATCAAACACAGTTAACTTTAAAGAAATCTACAAAAATAATTTTCTTTTGTATTTTTAGAATAAATGGTAAAAGGTATTTTCAATGCAAAGAAAATTACGGTGGCTTTGTGGCTCCAATATCGGTAGAAGTTGGTGACTTTCCTCCTGATGATATCAATTTAGATGATGAAATATGATTTATACATAACTTTATTTATAATTACTAAATTTAAATATCTTAAGGTATTAAAAAAAAAACTAAAAATGACTGCACTTTTAAATATAATTTAATCTTAATTAATATTTTTGTATTTGCTTTAATGTTTTAATTTTAACATGCGCTTTTGCACCAAGTGAAGTGAGTTTTTTATTTAAATTTTTAAATCATACGAATATAATAAATGTAATAAAAA